TTTAGTGTAGTAGTACGGTGGTCTTGTGTGACTGGGTAGTGTAGTGACTAGAAAACCGGCCTCAGAGTCAGGAAGACCTGGATTCAAATTCTACCTCTAATGCACACTGGCTGTGTGTCATTTGCTTCTCATTGCTCTAGGCAACTCCCTAAGACACTAAAACCATGTTGCGGAGAAGATAGTGACCTGTATTAGTCAAAGGAATTTCCTCATTTGGGAAGTCCATAGACCAGTCAAGTCACATGTCCAATACCTATTCCTGCCCAAGTTGGTAGACTAAGTATTTCTGGTTCTTTTAAGGTGATCTCTGTATATCATGTTTTGTGATTATTGGTATATTTCTTCAATTGCGGCTCTAACAGTTGAATACAACATAGTGCATCGGATCACAGAACTAGAGGAAGAAGGGGCCTCAGAATCCATGAGGTCCAGGGAGGTTGAGTCCATAGTCATACAGTAAGTGATGGGATTTGAATTCCAATCTTCCTGACTCCAGAGCCAGTACTCTTTCCATTGTACCACATTGCTTCAGATGTGGTCTGTATAGGTCAGACTCCTGTAGGACTATTGCCTAACTCATTGTGGACGCAATATTTCTATTGACATTGGCTCTTTTTGCTTACCACATCACACTGTTGACTCACATTGACTTTGTAGTCCACTAAACCCCCTACTTGTTTTTCACATGAATTGCTTTTTAGCCATCTTGCCTAAAGGGTACTTGTGAAATAGATTTTTATTTGAATATAAATGCTGGACATTACAGTGATCACATTTTATTGTATTTTTCCAACACATTATTCTCACCTATTGAAATCTTTGGATCCTAATTTTGGCAATTTTGACAAACATATCATTAAATAAAGTCATTGATAAAAATGCTGAATAGAACAGGGCTAAGCACTGAGCCCCTTAGCAAACCAATAGAAACTTCCATTCCTATTGACACGATTTCTTAATCAACACCCTGAGCGTCTGGTTATTTAATCAGTTCTGAAACTATATGACTATACTATTATTTAGTTCATTTTTTATCTATTTGTCCACAAATAGGATACATGAGAGATTTTTTTTTCATATTTTTTTGAATTCTGCCATACATCTGCTGAATGTCTTCAACAGTTTAAAAAATCTTGTTTAAAAAATTAGTAAGTCTGGTATGACTTGTTCTCAAAGAACCCGTGTTAACTTGCTTCTTTTTCTAAGTACACATAGACCATCTGTTTAGTAATTCTAACATTTCTCTATTCTAGAAATTTTCCAGGGACCAATAGTTTGAAGAATCCACTGTCTTTATTTCTGTTTCATTTTTGTCTTTGTATCCCATATTTGCCTAGTGTAGTGTCTGGCACATAGTGAGACAATAAATATTTCTTGATTGGTTCATCTTTTTGTAAATAATTCTAGGTGCTGTGGAGGGATACAATAATAATAATAATTATAATAATAATAATAATAAACATTTATATAGAGCTTTAAGGTTTGCAAAGCACTTTACAAATATTACCTCATTTGGCCTCATAACAACCTTGGGAGATAGGTGCTATTATTATCCCAATTTTACAGATGAGGAAACCAAGGCAGACTTTCCCAAGGTCACGCAAATAAGTGTCTGAGGCTGGATTTGAACTCAGGTCTTCCTAACTCCACTTTCTCCACAGAGTCTCAGTCTTTTTATAGCAATATAAATAATTAAGTGTAAAGTGCACATCAGATTCCTAAAAATACGAAAGATTTTCCTAAACAGACAACAAAATAGTTCCTGGAAAAGTAAAGGTGGTTACTTACTTTGTTATTGTTAATATTCTCCAAATTCTTTCTATTATTAAACAAAAAAGTCTTCAAGATCCCTCTTTCATTTCAAAATGACCCTGTGTCCAAGGATCATGGATACAGAGCTGGGAGGAATCTTTTCGAGAGCATCCAGTCACGGCCCTCGTTTTACATGAGAACAAGTAAACTGCTCTTTGCCCAAAACTACATTAGTTTAAAAAAAAAAAAGAAAGAGGCTTTCTGGCTGTTCTGTGTTGTCACTTACACCTTCTATCTCCCAAGAATCTTTACATAGTAATTGCAATGGAAAGGAATGCTACTTGTTGTTGAGGTCAAACTCTGCTTGATTGGAAGTTTTCTTCCTGCCAGAGTCACCCAGCTAGGAGCTCGGAAACTCAATAAGACTTGGCAGCTGAGTTCTTGGACCCTCTACACAATGCTTATTTTTAGTACGAAACAAGAACTATCAATATGGAAATTCATCTGATTATTCATTTGTGCAACTTGCATCTTTGATGAGTTGGCATAGTGAATACTTTCTAAATTAATTTCCTTTTGGAAATTGTATTTTTTTAAGTATTACTTTTTGGATTTACCATTTTTCAGAGCTAGTTCTTGAAACGACGACTGAATACCACCAGATTTTTTATTCCATTGAGGCTATTTTGGTCAAAGGTCTAGAACACTAATGAGGCAGCTTGGAGAAGCAGTGGCTACAGCATTGGAGTGAGGATGTCCTGAGTTCAAATCCAGCTTCAGCCAGTTACTAGTTGCCTGATTCTGAACAAGTCATTGAACCTTTTTGTACCTCAGTTTCCTTATCTGTAAAAATATAGGGATGATAATGGAGCTTACCATCCCACCCCACCCTAGCTGTTGTAAGGCTAAAATGAGATAATATTTGTAAAGTTCTTTGCAAACCTTAAAGTGCTGTAAACATGCTATTATTTGCTATTATTATTTATTCTATTTGCAACACTAGGTGTCTCATAAAGGTGGTATAGCCAGCCATAAGACTACATTATTTTATGAAATGTTAATTAATTGCCTTCTAGAACACAGAGAAGGTTTTGAGTAAGGTGCAGTAACAGATTGTGTTATCATTCATCCAAAACCCAGTTTAGTTCAGTGTGAAAAATCTTATCCCCAGAAAGTTGATGAATTGTTTTGGTCAAAGCCAATCATGAAAACTGCCTATTGAGTTTTAAAAAGATCAGTATGTTGGCAGAGAATATACCCAACACCAATGGAATCACTCATTTTTTTGGGAATTAATTTTTAAGTAATTAACAGCACAGTGAAAAGATTCTGTAACTGAAAAGGAGTTATATAACCTTCATTTGCTAATTTGCATACATTAGATTTTCTGTGTAGCCTTCTAAGAATGTGGTAACACACCCACCCTTTGGACAACATTTTCTAAAACACTCATCTATATTCTTCTCCATTAGTTGCTGGCTGTTTGGACTTTTTAAGGGATGATTTTCATTAGATGTTGTATCAATTGTGTTTTGAAGGTTAGCTATTGCTGATTATGTTGTTTTTGTTCTCATGGCCGAATTCCATGATGTTAACTCAATTGAAGATCTTTCCTCAATTTGACTTTTTTTTTTTTGGTCTTCAAGGAATTTGCATTTTAGTGATGGAGACAATAATGCATACATATAAGTATATACAAAACAGATACAAGTACATTAGAGGGGAAGGCACTAATCCCTGAGGGGATGGGCTGAATCTGAAAGGGAACAAGGGTTTCCAAGGATCAGTGGTGAGATGAGAGCATATTCCAGGAATGGGGGACTTTCCATGCAAAGGATCATCCTGTAAGAAACAATGAGAAGACCCATTTTGGCTGTACTGGAGAGTAATATAATTAATTAAATTTTGTATATATATATATAAAATAGAAATAACATATATTAAATAGAATTAAAACTGCATTACATACTACTGGATTCAAAACAAACAAACCAAAAAGCTTCTTAGCATACCATAAATCTGAAGGAACCAAGATTTAAGAAAATCTTGAAAAAAAATCATTTATTCAGCATTTGATTTTGAGAGGGAAAACCTGCTAATTTAGAGTATTTTTCACCCTAAATTTTTGCAGAAAAAGAAATCATTTTGGACATTTTATTCAAATTTGAATTAATCCTTCTGTGTAAATTGATTAGATAGCAGCTAAACCTGTGATTTCCATGGAATAGACACTTCCTGGGTGAGGAAACTCCTCTCACTAACACAGGTTGATACCTTCTCTACAACTTATAAAATTTCCCAGGATAGTAAAGCTGGGCAAGGGAGGAGCCCAAATTCATGTGCTTCTGACCCTGAAGCTGGCTTTCCATCCACCACCCCACAATTTTTTCTCTAAATGCTGCTACATTTTCCTAAACTTTCCAATTTTATTACATCAAACAAAACTCGAGGTGGGATAGAGGAATGTGGAGAATAGAGGGAAGGATGCCCTGGTAAATACCTGCCTCATAACCTCATCCGTAGAGTAAGGACATGTCCAAAGTGGGGTAGATGTTGTGTGCTTGTGCCATATGCATGTTACCAGGTTGACTGTTTTGTTCAGTGTGAAACTGAAAGAACTTAGGCACTGAGTTATGGCTTCAGGGATTAATGACTTAGAAAATGTCAACAATTTAAGGAGTATCTTAAGAAACATCTACTTAGTAAAAAAAGAAAAAGGTGAGGATTTGTTAAGGACAGCATGGTTAAGGGTTTGTGTTGTGTTGCTTGGAAGGTCAGAAGCTCAAGAACGTGGGCAAATATAATTAAGACAGAAATGAAGTAATAGCAAGCCAAGAGAACTCATCATTTTCTGTGGAGGGTTGGATTTCTAATGGACAGTAGTAGTATGTGTAGGGCTGTACTGTACTTCTGCATTGACCTTTCACTCTTCTCAGATGATACTCTATTGTCCTTATTTGGCTTAAATTTGGGGAGGGGAAGGGTGCAAAAGGAAAAAAAGATAGAACATTTGAGAACGTCCATGGTTCCTAGCAGAAATTTTCGTTTGCTCCATTCTGTTTGACATTTGTTGTGGGAAAGATAGTGGCAGTGTCCCTTATCCTTCTTGTCAAGTGTTTTTCCTTGATGTTTTTGTTGAGTTTATCTGCAAACACAGCTCCAAATTTTGTGGCTACGCTTGCAGAGACACCGTACCTCTGTCGTCAAAACCTAAATGCTACGTTTTTGTGTTTTGTCTCTTTTTTAAGAAAAGGAAGTGCCAAACAAACCTTTGCGTGTTCGAGTCCGGTCTTCAGATGAGAAGCTCTCTGTTCAGTGGAAAGCACCACGTGCATCGGGCGTGAAGAGTCCACGGAGGTCCCAGGGTTTTCTACTGGGCTATGGAGAAAGTGGCAGGAAGATGAATTATGTTCCTCTGACAAGGGATGAACGAGCACATGAAATTAAAAAACTAGGTGAGTCCAGCTGCAGCATGACCACAATGTCGGTTGATCATGGTATGATGGTCTTTCTTCTATTACTCAGGAACTAGTTTACTTCAAAAAACAGTCAGTTATGGGAGTAACTCAAGATACTTTTAAACATTAAAAATTATACTGAATAAAATATCTTTCTTTTCTTATCCAATTAATTTTTTTTCACAGACTGTACTTGCTCATATTTCCCCCTCCAAATATATATTTATCGCATTTTGATAACAACAAAAAGAACAAGAAAACGATTTTGGCTTCACAAATTCCCTTTCATTTCATATGTCTTTATTTGTTTCCTTCTTTTAAAAAGCAACCACCCTATCATAAGATGCTTTTCTAATAGGAATTAATTTCCTCCTTAGCAGGGCGAGTCTCTACCAAACTTTTTGCAAAAAAAGATGCTTTCACATTCTTACCACTCATTCATTTTATAAGCCCTTGCCTCTGATCTCTGGCCTAAGCACTAGACTGAAAAATTGTCCCTCAAAGGTCACCAGTGACCTACCTCCTTATTCAATGATCTTCTCTCTATTCTCACCCTTCTGCTTTGTAGCATTTCAGTCAGTCGATCAAGAAACATTTAGGAACCACCGGCTGTGTGCCAGGCACTGTGCTAAATGCTGATGCACTTGGTGCTATTAGCCATCTTTCTTCTTTTTGTTATTGTCTCCTTTGGTTTCTGTGAATATCACACTCTCTTGATTTTCTTCTGTTTCTGGAACCATACCTTCTCTCTTGTCTGGTATTTCTTCCTGATCCTTTAATATTGATTTTCCTTAAGGTTTTGTCCATGGTCCTCCTTTGTTGTCTCTCTAGCCACTCCTCTATTGTCATCCTCATCCACTTCCGTGGCTTCAACTATAATTTCTATGCAGATGATTTCCAGCCATCCCTGAGCTCCAGACTCTCATTTCTGACCATTTACTAGACGTGTCCACTTGGATATCTTGTTGGCACCTCAGAATCAGTGTATCCAAAGGTAGAACTTACTATATTTTCACTAATCTGCTTCTAACTTTCCTATGTTTGTTCCCCCGTGTTGAAACAATGGTATCATCTATGACTTATCTGCCTCACGTCCCACAAGCAGACTTTTGTCTAATCTTGTCAAACCTTTCTCTGCGATATCTACCAATATGTTCCCTTCTAACCATTCCCACTGCCTTCACACTAGGATAAGCCCAAATTATTTCCTAATTAGTCCTCAAGACCCCTGTCTCTCCATTTATTTGATTTGTATTTCACCCCATTGAAAGATTTCTCTTCCTTATGTTCAAATGTGATCATGACGTGCAGTTGGACTGGCAGTTCACCATGTCATCTCATTCTTACATAGATCTTGGGCACACAGTGAAGATAGATAATGATCTGACCCTGGAATGAATAGAAGGAAGTGAGTTGGAAGGATTTACATTTACAAGTGGGAATACCTTCGTAAATAGAGGATAATGCCTGGATCTGTGATTTCATTGCTGTAGGGAACTTTTATCAGTGTAGATCTCTACCTTCTCTGTAACTTGTAATCCTTTCAGATTTGCCTGGATCACTGAGTGGTTAAGTGACTTACCCAAAGGGACCCAGTCAATATGTCATAGGCAGGACCTGCACCCAGGTCTTTCTGGCTTTGAGGCTTGCTTTCTTAGCTACTACAGGATGCTTCCTCTCACACAAATAGAAACAGAACTTGATTCCACCTTCAAATCCTTCTATTTGTGATGGGAAAAGGGTTGCAGAAATGTCTTTTTGTTTTCTTGGTAGCCTCTGAGTCGGTGTATGTGGTCTCCTTGCAGTCTGTGAACTCCCAGGGGCAGAGCCAGCCCGTGTATAGGGCTGCTTTGACCAAGCGAAAAACTGAAGGTAAGTTTTTGTCAGTACTTTTGGTTAACCTGCAGATCGTTGTACGTGATGGGTTTGGTGCTTGTAAGACAGCTGTGTCCTAATAAATAAATAAATAAATAATTATTTAATTATAATAAATAAAAATCACGTTCTGGAGAAACCTGAGCATCTTTTAAAAATTCATCCCCGTCCCCCTTTTAGTCCTATGTTGGCTTGGTCTTGGTGATGCTCCTCAGTTAAACAATAAATAAGCTCCACTGTAACATATTTATTCCGACTACACAGAAACCATCTCTTGGTAACAGCAGTTCTGAACAGGAGGAAGGATGGATGAATAGATATGTGCAGAGTGATTGCCTGAGATAAGCCCAATTCATATTGGTCTTATGCTAGTAATCACCCCTATTGTACATAGAAAATTGTTAGCATAGTAAAGTATGCAAAGCAATTAGTGACTCATGCAGTGGCTCATGGCCAGTAGATGTATCTGTCTTTGACTGTATATACACATCTGTGTTTATTTGAAATTCATTTACAAAATTATTGTAAAATGTTGTCAGAAAAGCAAATTATGACTTTGACTCACAGGCAAGCTCAGACTCTCCAGATTTGAGAACAATGTCACTTATTCTTTGTATTGGGAGAGTTTTCTTCTCTTAGCCCTCTTCCCTTACTTACAAGTATTTTTATTTTTAGTTACTGCTGTTGGTATTTTTTTTCTCTTTTTTGGTACAAACCCATGATTTCATCAATGTAGAGAACTCATGATGAGAAAACTGTCTCTAGTAATGTAGGTCAACAACATTTTGCAACTTATGGGGTTAGAAAGCTACTTGGGGCACTGAAATGTTAAGTGAGTTGCCCTTGACCACATATCTAGCATGTGTCAAAGGCAGCATTTGAAACCAGGACATTCTAAAATCAGAGGCCAGTTTTCTACCCACTATACCATGCTCTCTAATAAATTATAGATGCTTTTTCTGGGCTATTATTCAAGGAAAAAATTCCCATAATTTTTTGCCCTTTAACTCAAAGTATGAAAATTGACAACTAGGAGGCACAGCAGATAGAATACCAGGCCTGGAGTCAGGAAGACCTGAATTCAAATCTGGCCTCAGACACTTACTAGCTGTGTGACCCTGGGCAAGTCACTTAATCCTGTTTGCCTCAGTTTCCTCATCTGTAAAATGAAAAGGAAATGGCAAACCACTCTAGTATCTTTTCCAAGAAAACCCTAAATAGGGTCACAAAGAGTTGAACATGACTGAAAATGACTCAGTAACAACAACATAATTTCAGTCTCTCGTAGCATCCCACAATCTAAGATTGAACAACACCAATAATAATCACTGACATTTATATTATGCTTTAAAATTTGTGAAGTACTTCACATAAATTATCTAATCTGATCCTCACAACAACCCTGTTAGGTTGGTTTTAATATTTCTCCATTTTACAGAAGGCAAAACTGAGGTTTAGAAGTTAAATGACTTGCCCAGGATTGTATGGCTAATAAAGCAAAATTCAGACCTTAGTCTTCCTCAGTCTAGAGATCTGTCCCTTACACTGCCCCAATACTTTTTGTTGTGGGAACCAGAATTAGCATTTCATGCCAAAGTTATCAATTAATGCCATTATAACCAATTCCTAACTCTGCCCTGCCCCCACCCCCAAAGTAGTGCTAAGAATATTGTGTCATAAACTGATAAAATACTAAATAGCATCCTTGAGCAGAATGCCTTATATGAGGTATTTGTTTTTTATTAAGTGGTCAGGATAGTAAGGTGCCTTTTCGGCTGGAGATTTATTTTGGCTTAAATTTTCTATGTTGATTGCACAGATAATTGCTTAAGTCTTTACTCAGTCTCAGTCTAAAATGTAAGAGAGAGTCCTTCCTTTGTCCCTTCCTTTGTTCCTTCCTTCCTTTATTCCTCTTTCTTTCTTTTTTCTTTCTTTCTTCCTGTTTCTCTTCCTTTTCTCCTCTTCCTTCCTTTTTTCTTTCCTCCTTCATTCTTCCTTCTCTCTTTCTCTATCTTTTTTCTTCCTTCCTTCCTTCTGCCTTTCCCCAACACTGGTCAATGGGCTGGATTCAATAGCGATTTCTCAGAGGTTGCCTAGATTTTGTTGTAATTGCTCTGTTTTGTCATTTCAGAGGAGGATGAGCTAGAAGAGCCTGAAGACATAAATGTTCGAGTTATGTCATCTCAGTCAGTCCTTGTTGCCTGGGTGGATCCCATTTTGGAAAAACAGAAAAGGACAGTTGCATCCAGGTATTCTCACTTGTTTTACTGGGTCTTGGTTTTATTCACTGAGAGACATTCTGTGTGATGTAAGAGTCTGTGCTCAAACCCTCTGATTTCAGACATCTTGCTTTTCAGAGCTTCTCATGTTAAGTAGTGCTCGGTACCATCCTCGTGAATAATACATTCTTATTTATAACCACTTGATTACTGCAGAGATGTCATGAAGGAGATTGCATGGAAAAGAAATGCAGCAAACTGTGTTGAAAAGTTTAAGCCCTACAGTGTTGAAGATGCCCTTTCTTCTCAGAGTATAAGCTCCCCATGCCCAGGTTTTAGTTTTTTTCCTGTCTGCCTAGGGCATGCAATTAATTATTTTTTATTTTGTTCCCCAACTGGTGATAAGCCTGCTTTCCCATCAATTACAGTTCTGGTGTCAGTATTTGCTTTTCTATCCCTTACTGCCTCACCTCTTCTGTAGGTAGCAGGACTTTCCCTCTTGCATCACGTTTCTTAATCCTGTAGCTTCAGAGCCTTTGGGAGGAACCCTTCCCCAAAATACCAGATCTTGTCTTCCTTGGCCTCAAAATCCACAGCATTTCTACTGTGGATTTAATTTGGTTTCCTGAGCTGATAAATATAACCAAGAATTGATTTCCTTCCTGTTTGGTTTCCTTGCAGAGGCCATGCATCCTACACAGTCAATAGATAAAGAGGAGGAAGGACAGCAATACCCAGAGAATTTTGTTGAATAAATGCCAGCACTAAACTGTTTCTCATCAACAGGCAGTATACCGTGCGCTATCGAGAGAAAGGAGAATCGGCAAGGTGGGATTATAAGCAGGTTGCTGGAAGAAGGACTCTGATTGAGAATTTGATTCCAGACACCATGTACGAATTTGCAGTCCGTATTTCACAAGGTGAAAGAGATGGCAAATGGAGTACTTCAGTCTTTCAAAGAACACCAGAATCTGGTTTGTATTTAAAGGGTTCTTTGAATTTTCTGTCAGGGAGATACTCCTGCAGTAGGATTTATAGAGAATATAGTCCCAAGGCACCCAGGTTATTAGAGTCCAAGCATAGCAATGCATCAGAAAGGATACTCCTTTTAGAGAGGTTGGCTTTAAATTCTTTGGTCAAGTTTCCATGTATAAACACAAAGTTGTTGATTGACCATTTCCCCGGGGAACATACTTTGCCCTGTACTGAATTTTTATATTAAATCACTATTCTTTCAACATATGTTATCCATTAAACACCACTTGCATAATGTACATAAATAACCCTTGTGTATTATTGTGACTACAGAAGGAAAATAACCTCTCCCAGGATGAAGGCCTATGCTTGATTCTGAGAATGCATGTACTGAATCTGCCGTTATACTTTGTAGTATATCTTTATATTGACAGGTCATAGATTATGGGATCAGATGTGGAAGGAAACACAGAAATCAGGTTATTCACCATCTTCATTTTTCAAATAAGGAGACTGAGGCCCAGAGAGCATTGTTATTTTGTTCAAAATTTCTCCCTTGCCAAAGGTACAAAGATTGACCCATACAAAACCTTCTCTGGGCTGCTTCAATGCTCTCTTTAAAACTCCAGCTGAAATGGATCAAATACTCAACTTGAAGTCAGGAAGACCTGAGGTTGAATTCTGCCTCAGACACTTAGTAGATATTTGACCCCAGACAAGTTGCTTCATCCGTAAAATGAGGAGGTTGGACATGATGACCTCTAAATTTCCTTCCAGCTTTGAATCTATGATCCTGTATCTCAAAAATTAAAGCCAATACTTTCTTATTTTCCATTACTCTTCCATAATATTCTTTGCTCCCACCAAACTGGATCACTGATAACTCCATGAACATGCCATGCACTGTACTTTCCAAACTAGGCACCCTTGCTCATGATATTACCATCACCCTTTCTCACCTCCATCAGGAGATGGAGCCTTTTACACATTCTCTTCTTCCTTTAAGGACCATCTCAAACACCTCCTTTACTAGGACCTCTCTTTGTCCTTAAACTAGATGTGATCTCTCCCTCTTCTGTACTTTTGAGGCATTTTGTTTTTGCTGCCATTATAACATCATATTCATTGTATATTATATATGTGTATATTATATAATTATATATACACATGTATATTATGTATTTTATATATTATATAAATATTATAATATTTATCATATTATGCCTTGTACAACAACTATGGGTATGCTTGATTTTCCTCATGCTCCTTGTGAACTCCTTGAGGTCAAAAACTATTTCTTACTTGTCTTTGCATTGATCATAAAACTTAGCACAATGTTTTAAGCACATATTATACTTTCAAGATGCATCTGAGTGGGACAATAGATACAGTGCTAGACCTGGAATCAAGATGACCAGAATTCAAATCCAACCTCAGATGCTTACTCACTGTGTGACCCTGCTGCGATATGTAGGGTACTAGACCTGGAGTCTGAATGAAATGAGTTCAAATCCAGCTTATGACACTTGCTGTGTGACTCTGGGCAAGGCACTTAATCTTTGTTTGCCTCAATTTCCTCACTATAAAATGGGGATGATAGCAACTGCCTCCCAGGGTTGTTGTGAGAATAAAACAAGATACTATCTGTAAAGTACTTTGCAAACTTTAACAACATAAATGCTAGCCCTTATTATTATTCAATGAATATTTGGTGAATTGAATCTCTAAAACTACTAACCAGATTATTATTATAATATTTATTAGTGTTATTATTTTTGCAAGGCAGCCAGGGTTAAGTGACTTGCCCAGTGTCACACAACTAGTAAGTGTCAAGTGTCTAAGTCTGGATTTGACTGACTCCAGGGCTGGTGCTCTATCCACTGCACCACCTAGCTGTCCCAGGATTATTTTTAACTCATACTTATCTACTTCATAGATAGTGACAGTAGTAATATAAATTGCTATGTTACATCAGCATCAGCCATGAATTTGCTTCCTACATGTTCATTGACAATCAGTGACATCTGCTTAAATGATGTTTGTCTGCCAAGGACTATCAGCATGTGTCATTCGCCTTCTTAGACTCTACAACACCCCATATAACAACAGCATCAGCATGTATTTAAATAGTCATGTTCTTGATATAACATTTGCCTTTTTGAGTAATTTGTTTGTTTATAGCTCCTACCACAGCACCTGAAAACTTGGATGTCCGCCCTGTAAAAGGCAAACAAACTGCTGTCACTGCTTCTTGGGATGCCCTTCCAGAGACAGAGGGGAGAGTCAAAGGTAGGAAGTTTATTGTACAAAAATGCATGAGGAAATGGAAATGACCTATGCCGTATGCTTGAAGTGCCAGATGATTGATCAATACTGGCTATTCACATTATCCAAAAAGCAACTAGGGAGGTAGCATGCCTACTGGAGAGTTTTAATCTGGACAGGAAGGATAGTTGATGTAATTATTTTCTAGGTAATGAAGATGACTGTGCACAAAAATTAGTTTTGTCAATTTCTCCCAATATCCAGCTTCTTGTATTATCCTTCATGTCTTAATCTCACATTTGTGGCACTGTCCTCTTAACCCATCTGAACAATACACTGAAGTTTAAAATATTATGTATGTATGACCTATTCACTGTACCGCAGAGGAAGCGAAAAACCCAGCATTAACCACAAATATCCTTAACTAATTAGGGAAGTACGCGAGAATGCCTAGTGATGATGGATTTATATTCTTTTTGTCCAAGTCCCTTAGTGATGAAATATGGTTTTAAAATATAATTACATTTAAAATATACAAACTGAATAAACTATTCTCAGCTTGTCAATTCTCAAATATGTTTTCTGAGAATATAATAAACAAATCTTGCCCTTAATAATGTAGATAGTTATATATAAATATATATACATATATAAAGAGATGCATATGTACACATGTATACACACATGCCATGTATGTATTTGTGTGTGGGCTAACTGCATGTTAGTTATGCAGAGCAGATGGTACCTTATTGATATGGATAGGAAAGGTCTCATTTAAGAAGGCATCAATGTTATCCAGATTTTCTCTATTTTGAGATGATTTAATATTTTGTCTAGTGTTTTGTCTGTCCTGTTATATGGTTTTTCATTTTTCTTACTCTGGTTCTAGTCTAAAGGCTGGAAGGAATTTCTGGTTAGTGGCCAGTTAATTACATAGCCAGAAAGCACAGTCGCCACTGAGTTCCTAAAGCAAAAGCATCTGGCTGAATAGCTCCTCTCTGTTCACATTTCTCATCCATCCCTAGTCTGGCATTCTTATCACAAATTTTTTTTAAGTTTCAAGATCTGAAATTCATAATGACTGTTGCATTTGCTATGTATAGGAAGTGATACTACAGAATAGTAAATCCTGTACGTGATTGGAGTTGCTCCCTGTCCCTCATTCAACAGAGTGTAGTCCAAACTCCCTATTCTACCAATGTGGCTCTGAATAATGAATTTCTCCATTTCTTAACTTTTGACCACCACAAATGACTATGCTATACAAAGTTGAAATCACCAGTTGCATTGAGAAGAAAATAAGCTTGAATTGTGGGTTGGTACTGAAAAGAATGATATGTTTTAGGACATAATGTACTACTTAATCATTTCTGTAGCGAAGGCATTTTATTTTATCACTATTGAATATAATCTTTATTTTCAGAGTACTAGCATCAAAATAGCATTACAGAATTGAAATAATCTTTATAAGACTGAAATATTTGACTTATCCCACCTTTTGAATGTTATCAAATTAATTTTACCATTGCATACTTTGATCTAAAATATTGTAATTGCCACCATACATAAATGCCTTCTCAATCTGGAACTTATCTATATTAAATCATCAACTTGGTAACTAAGGCAGTAACACAAAATAATCACAATTTAATAAACAAAAAAATTTAAAGCTGTCCCAGCTAATTAGACTCAATCTCCAGTAGTTGCCGCTTCTCACTTGATTTTTTCCATCCCAGCGAATGACGAGGTAATAGGCAATAAAGGAAAAAAAAAACTATGTAAATGTTTTTGGTAAATACCATTAAGATTTGCCTCCTAGATTCCATATGCTTAACTTATTTAAAATACAAAATTGCTAGCTAATTAACTACATATCCTGTCTAGTAGCCTGAATGAGTGCTAGTTCAGATTCTCTCATATCTTTGTACTCCGGCTGTTGACTTGACGTGCATTGCTAGTGTTTTAATTTTAGTAATGCACGTTCTAATTCATCCTACCCATACAGTCTGTCTGCTGGACACAGGACTGTTTTCAGTTTCCTCCTTCCAACCGTCTGCCAAATCATTTCAGAATACATTCTTTCATACGCCCCGGCTCTCAAACCATTTGGAGCAAAGTCCCTCACCTATCCTGGAAAGACTACTTCTGCCATAGTGGATGGTCTGCAGCCTGGGGAACGCTATCTTTTCAAAATCCGGGCCGCAAACAGGAGAGGACAGGGTCCTCAGTCTAAAGCCTTCATTGTCGCTATGCCAACAAGTAAGCGTCTTGTATTCATTGCTTTCTCACTGTGTCCTTGTCTCTCATATATCATTCTGGCTCTTTGTCTTGTGTTACTTGAGATTATAGTCCTGAATTATAATGTATTGGATAGATAGATTTTATCACAAATTTGTGTTGAAATTTCAAAAAGGGGGAAAAAGAATCTTACGTAGTGATTCCTTTAAAAATAGATTTTTCCTCGGTAGGTTGCACTAAATTCCCCATGTAAGATGAAAAATGTCGTTAATTATAATTTAACTGATGTCATTCTCTAACTTTATATTGAAAATAAAAGGGAAATGAAACATTTAGATGTTAAATATGGACACTTTTGCTGTTGCTATGGTTATTTTGTTCCCCTTTGACCAAAATACTGGTTTTAAGTTTGTTTTGTATTGTATGTACTTGAACTATGTCTGAACAAAAAATGTGAAGGAAAGAATTGGCAGTGAACCAGTTTATCCAATCCATTTTGACAGCTAGTCAAGTTAACTCAGGCCTCAAAATGTACTGGGTTTTTTTTTTTTTTGTCCTATGTACATAGGTATGAATTATCTTATTTGGCCACCCACACTAAATTAACTAGGTAATTGCCAGTGCTTTATTTCACTGTGTGCTGTTCAGACTAGCCGTACATAGACATACCCAGGTCTGCTCTTAAGTTAAATTTTGAAGAAAGCCAAGTTCACCTTTGGATCCCCCAGTCTTCCCTATCTACACTCTTCATCCACAACACCACCTTATTATTAGGTAACCAGTGTCCACCTTCTGTTAAAGCTGATTCTTAAGAAAGGCTCTGATATTAATCTTATACACCTTAGGCCTCTCAAGGTCTTGCTGCATTCTAAGCCTTCTTTCCAATTATGAAACAAAGGTTTTGTCCCTTTTGAAAGAATGTTCAGGCATCAGAGAGGAGAGGGAAGAAGGCATGTTTTGAAGTATAAGAAATGTGAAGGCCTTTTGGTGACCTTGAAAGCATACCATGCAGGCCATGTACTCCACTTCATGTGATTTGGGGTAACAGTTATTCAGCATCAACATTTTTCTCATGTCTTAGCATATAATAAGACCTATTCTAGCTCATCTATATGTGACTATGAGAAGGATCTGTGTAATTGTGTCAGTGTGGGAAACTAGAATTTTGGAAACTCCTTCTACCAATGCAACTCAACGATGACTTTTTTTTTTTGTGAGGCAATTGGGGTAAAGTGATTTGCTCAGAGTCACACAGATAGCGAGTGTTATGTGTCTGAGGCCGGATTTGAACTCAGGTCCTCCTGACTTCAGGGTTGGTGCTCTATCTGCTGTGTTGCTGAGCTGCCCCTCAGTGATGACTCTTTAGATAAATCTAATGGAATTGCCTGGGGCACATAGAGATTAGGTAACTTGTCTATGGTCATACAGCTCATAAATGACATGGGCAGGATTTGAATCCAAGACTTCTTAATGCCTGTGCCACACTACTCCATCTCATTTAGGACACATTGAAAATTGTATTTGGGTAGCCTACCTTAATAAAAACATTTGAACTTTCAAAGCAGATAGTTTGAAGTTGATTACACACATTACAAACAGATCCTTTGCTTGACTAAAGGATTCACCTCATGATTCCTTTGAATATTCCTATTAAATATAAAGGAATTCAATTCTTTTAAAATGTTTAAAACTTGATCCAATTTACAGAAATTCAAGTTATTTACTCTTCTTTTCCCTTCAGGATCACATCTCTTGCACAAAGGGAAGTACATCTTTCCTTTTGGTTATTGTGGCCAGGGGGAGAAAAGTTATTTTTATTCTAATATATTACTTGGTATTTTTTGTAGTGGTTGATTATATCCTTTCCTCCATGCTGTCATAAATGATCATTTACTGCCTTATAGCTGTGGTTAATTTTCTTTACAATTCTATTGCAGCTGTCACCAGTGATCCAAATGCTCATCAGAGAATGAATATGGAAGACAAATTGGATCCTAAAAAGCCTGAGCCTTCACAAAAAGTCCCTCCCTCTAAACACATTCATTCACCTCTTTCTCCCAAGGGGAGAGATGCAAAAACCCCACTTCCTGATTTAAAGAATAAATTTTTGACTAATAGTGAGGTCCTTAGTAAATCCCAGCTACCCCCTAAAAAGAGAACAGAATTAGGCTCTGATCTCCAGTCAACAGAAGTCACTGATGATGACTTAGATTCCCATTCAGAGTCACCAGCATCACAGTCTAAGATCCAAGACACCAAGAGAAATGTTAGACCACCATTACCAAGTAGGTCCTTTCATTCTGTCTTAGGGCCTGGAAGGACCCCAGTGAGAGCCCGCATTCCCACATTACCCCAGAAGACAAACATAGATTCACATGATTCTTCATCTTCCTCTCAGGATTCACAGTCTGCTTCCACATCTCCATCATCATCATCTTTCCATGATGATGAAACCAGGCATTTGAGAATGCGTAACTCTCATCCTTCTTCCAGAGTCACTTCTGTTAACCCATCTCATGAAAACACTAGTAATGACCCAGTTGATGATGATGATGATGATGACAAGAAAGAAAGACATATTAAAGACCCTCTGCACTCAAAATATCCTTCATCTGGGAAGCCAGTTTCTAAAACTACAGAACGTTCTCGATTGACTGTACCATCAAATCGACAGCCTGTCCTACACCAGGAGAAGAGTCCTACACATGGTGAAGGAAAATCACATTTGCCTGCTCATACAAATGCTCCATCAGAGAACTGGGAGGAAAAATCGAGTTTTCTAATCCCAGCAACAAGAACTTCTTCCCCTGGGGGAGCTCCAAGGGCACTGCCAACCAGATTTGGATCTCATCCTCGTGTGCTAAAAAATGATCAGGAGGCAAGAGCTGTCAACTCTGCCATGCCATCACAGTCCACAGTTTCTTCTCCAGCCCGTCATAGGGCCACCCACTCACACCTCCCCTCAATGAGGCAGACACCAGATGAAAGGAATGGCTCAGATGATGATGGCAATGAAGACTATGATGCAGAAGATAAAAAGAGGCAAACGGATTCTACCTCTCCTACTTTTCGCTCCAGGTTGGCAACAGGTCAGCCTATCTCTGGGAACTTAAATTTTCCCAGACGTAGGCCATTTTCTTCCAGCAGTCGATATCCTAACAGGGTTAGCAGTAGCCAAGGTCCCCGGTCACAGCCTTCTAGCTCCCCTCAGTCCACAACATCATCTAGGGTTCATTCTCATCGTATTTCTGATCCTAGAGTTGGTTCAAATATTGATAGAGATGAAGAGGAAAAGGAAGAAGATGATGAAGAAAAACCACTTCCCTCTACTGTTGTAAATGATTATCTACCTTCTTCAAGGCAGCCTTCTTCACAGAGTTCAGATCACATAAGAAGAATCCCCCAGAGAGTGTCAAGTGTTCACCGAAAAGCGCCTGTCATGGAAAATGCAAAGTCTCCATTGACTTCTCAGTCATCTTCTTCTGAAGCACATTCTCAGGGCAATTCACCATCCTTTCCCAATAAACTACATACACAAGATGCTCATCGAAACACAGGAACAGTGGGGATTCCTGCCAGAGTAAGGCCTTTTATGAGATCTCAGCACCAATCAGGGTCTAGTGCACCCACAAAGGTAATGAAAGTCCAGGACTCGAGGTCTGCAGCACTTTCTTCAGAAAGGCATCCATCTTCACATCTTTCTACTTCTAAACATCAGCTTCATGACCATCAGGGTAAGGAAGTAGAAAATCCATTGTCCAAATCAAAACAATGGCACTCTATACCAGGAAATTCTTATTCCTCATCGCAAGATGTCCATTCCAACTCTCGCCCTTTCTTTAAAACAAGATCTGGTCAGTCCACCCTTTCTGCCAACTCTAGAGGGCAGCTCCCATCTCAAGCCTCCCGACAGAGTCATCAGGAATCAGGAAGTAGATATGATGATAGCCAGAATTACAGCACAGAACTGGAGGACCAAGATGTCAGGATACATACACATTCTACCCATCACAAAGATGGATTATCTCCTACCTCATCCCTTTCCAAACAGGAGCAAATAGGGGCACAGTCTAGAGATGCTGATGAAAAGTCCCAAAGCAGACATACCTCTTCCCCTTCTTCTAGAGACTCAGGTTCATCTTTGCCAGCTGGCAGGTCCAGTAGCTCCAGAGAAACCTATACAAAACCCACCTTACCTTTTGTTCATTCCCGTGCTCGAGCTCCTAGCAGAACAACGTCCCAGGTGGAGAAAAAAGATAGTCTCTACCAATCCACACCATCAAAAATAGAGCCTCCTTCTAAGAGTCCTCTGTCATCTTCCCTGAAGTCTCACCAGTCAGTCTCAAATGATGATGATGAAGATGATGATGATAATAGAGAATATACAAGAAGAAACAAAGAGGAAGATTCTATTTCTTCTTCAGTTTCAAAGTGGCCTCCTTCCTCCAGCGGTAAATACATAAATAGAAATGTTGGCAAGGATAAGGAGAAGTCTGTAAGTTCTCTTTTTCCTCCTAGAGTAAGATCTAACGAAGAAGAGAACTCTACTCCCTTAAAACGTCCTATTCTTCCACCATTGGGCAGTACTCCAAGAACCTCACAAATCCCTAATGCCCCTTCTAAATTTCTTCCACGTTCCCATGATACCCAGAGTCCCATCAGCAGTACCCCCTTGCATACTACCACCCATGCCCCACTTACTTATTCTTCCACCACACCCATGCTTTCACTACGTCAACGAATGCTAAACTCAAGATTACGCAACTCACCTTCAAGATACCCTGCAAGACCTTCTTATAGACCAGGTAATTTGTGCTTTCAAATGTTTGGTCCACTTTGCTTTTCATAAGATGCTTTCAGAAGTGACATGTGTTGTAGCTCTTGCATGGGCAGAGCACAGTCCCATAGGTTGTGTCCAACCATGTTGTCAAATTCTAGCTCCTGAGTCTGACAAAGGATTTTTACTCTTTTACGAGGTCAGCTTATTCAAAGTACTTAGATACACTTGAGCTGTACTTTGTGCAAGTGCACATCTGAACGTGAGCTTGGAAAAGCTCAGATGCTTTGGATATAATAGGTTAAGTATTTCAGCTATTGTGGTACATTCATAAAACATACTAAAGACTGGTATAATAACAAAGAAGCAATACAGTCAAATGTATTCAGGAAACAACTAGAGCCTTACAGTTCTATAAATGAGGATAGAATCTAGTCTTCTGTGGGCTGGTATCTACATCATCTCAGTATGAAATAGGGGTTTGGGTTCTGCCTTAAGCGTACATATGTTTATTTAGGTAGTACCTAGCATAGTGAGTGACTTGAGTATAGAAGATGTTCAGTACATGGTCATTGAATAAATGAACGGAAGGCATGGTCCTTATCTATTAGCTTAGTTTATCATCTGAATAAAATGTAACTACATACATTAATATAATAAAAATACTGCGTACATTAATAAATCCAGTGGATTTAAGACAGCTTCAACCATCTAAAGAAGAGTGAGAAGTATGAATTAAATGGAAGGATAAAACCCTTTGAACTGCATATACTTGTCAAGAAATCCATGTATTTTACTCAGTAGGAAAGGGGTTTTCATTTACTGTGAAATCAGGCAGCTGATTAGAAGTAGCAATTGTTGTCAAGTCAATCCAATGCAATTCAACAAACATTTTAAAGTAGTTAGCATATGCAAAGTATTGTCTAGGAGAAGCCACAGGAAAAGGGAGAAACAGAATAGCTTTCAAAGCTAAGTAATATGGGAGCCATCTACAATTATAATGCCTCCTATGTCTTCCCTGTAATTTCTATATACTATATTATACAAGACTTGATTATTATAACGTAATACAATAATTCACAATGATAACCTTCTCATTAAAAGGTTAAAATATGCATATGTTGACTAAACTCTGTTATAGTAAAAAAGAAATATGCAATATGTTGAAAAAGATTTATTTAAAAAATGGTTATTTTGTGGGAACTTAGTTGTGTGGAAAATTCATATATGTAGAACACCTGCTTCTCCAGTGATGCAGAATGACCAAACCATTATTGTGCTCTTAATACTCTTAAACATGTTAAAGCTTAAACAAGCTTTGGATGAAAATGTACAAGTCACAGCTTAAGACCATTTGCAACCTAGTACTTCAACTGGTGGTTTCAAACCCTGGTTGTCCTTCTGTATGTTGTGAAGTATTTCTTTAAAACTTTGGTATAAAACAAACTTTCTTGACCTATTGACTTTATTCAGTTCTGTTATTCTCTTGTACTGCATAGGTAATAATGGCAGACCAAATATAGATGGGAAAGTACTTCCGGGTAGTAATGGACAACTAAGTGGACAGAGAATTATCAATGGCCCTCAAGGAACAAAGTGGGTAGGGTAAACTTCTTTACAAATACAAGATGTTTTGATGCTATTGAAGGAAAAGAAATGGTAGTTCTGTGGAAAAATAGATACAATAGTCTTCCTTGTTCTTAACTATAGCCAAAACTAATGAGCACTTTTCATCAAATCTCCTTATGGCTTTCCTAATAATGACTCTGTGGCTAGAACCAATGGTGTGTATTGTTGATTGCTTGATGTTTAAACCAGGATTGCTTTCACTGGTTTAGGACTATTGAATATCTATCATTTTGAAAAAAGAACACCTCATTAAAAAAAAACAGCTTTCAGTTATAGATCCAACAAGAGAGGCAATATAGTTTGATGGATGGAAAGCTGGCTTCAAAGCCAAGAAAACTTGGGTTCAAGTCCTACCTAGCTGTGTGACCCATAGATCTATCATATAACCTTTCCATGCGCTAAGCAACTTTCTAAAACCATCAGTTGTAAAGAAGGTGCCAACTTGCTCTGGTAGAGGGAACCTTTTCCCTTAGGAATTTCCTGTACCAATGAAATCACAGGTCCAGTCTTTATTCCTTAACTTTGTGCAAGCTATCTGCAATACAAAGATAAAAAAATATTATAGTCTCTTCCCTTAAGAAGCTTACATTCTAATGGAGGTAGTGATGACATATGACCAATTTACAAATTAGTATGATATAGGACAGAATGTTTCAATATCAAAGGAGAGCCAAACAAAGCTCCAGGAGAAATTCTCTTCCACTGAGGAGAATTCATTTTTATCTGTAGTGATGGAAGACTTCTTGGAAGGGGAGTCATGTTCAACAGAAGGATTTATTCCTCCCAAGGGGGAGGATTCTATATCCAAAGAATGATCAAAAGTATGGAGATAAGAGTGGAAATAATGAGAATGGTTGATAGAAAACATATTAGTTTGGCCAGAAGTTAAAGTATGTGAAGGAGATCAGTAAAAGAGGTTAGATAGTTATACTGAAGCAAGATTATTGAAGGCATTGAATGTCACAGTCAAGAGTTTTATTATCTCTTAAAGGCTATCAAGAATTAGGAAGAGTACATGAGAACGACAAAATGCCCAGCTTAAAAAATAAGGATCTTTAGAATGTTTCAGGTACAGGTAATATGAAAATACATCTTGTAATTTCTAAAATATGAACTCTTGAAAATTCATGGAAACTGAATAGATTAAATATACCCCAAAATAAAATATTGCACACACATGCACACACACACACACACACACACACACACACACATACACATATACCTATATAGACTATTTTAATTTGGAAATAGGTTGTATTCCAAGACCGAATAATATGAGTAAATCTTAATTTAACTATCAATACAGCAACAAACACGATGCCTTTATAACTATTGTAGGTTCTCAATAATTACTTGTTTATTGATTAATTGATAAGGCGAAGCATAATTTTGCTCATTGAAGAGAATGTCAATCTTGTTTGTCCAAAGAGTGAGTGATTTTTTTTTTCATGTCTGGAGTGTTAGAATGTGGGAATCTGTGCATACATAATATTGTAGGGCATTAAGTGACACATTGCTTATGTTCCTTTTGTTATGACCATTGTTATTTTAGTATGAACAACACTTTTAAAAGCACTGGAACTTAGGGTATCTACTCCATTAAAATTGGCTACCTTTAATATTGATGGCAGAGAGAAAGAATGTACATCCTAGCAGGGGTGGGGAACCTACGGCCTTGAGGGCACATGTGGCCCTCTAGGTCCTCAAATGTGGCCGTTGTCTGAATCCAAACTGCACAGAACAAATCCTCTTAATAAAAGGATTTATTCTATAAAATTTGGACCCGGTCAAAAAAGCCATACCCAACGACCTAGAAGGCCACAGTTTCCCCACCCCTGCAGCTTAACAAAGAAACTTATTTTCATAAGTGTATCAAAGAATGAAATTCTTATTGCCCTGATTTTTAGATCTATAAAAGAAATGAGATTATTAGTATAATGACTATTTTATAATCTATTCTGGGCATCCCCCAGTGACATCCTTTCCCCCTGCATAGACTCTAGGTTCTTAAAGGTTATTTTACCATGCTCAAAAAGACTTTGATTATGCACCAGTATGGAACCAAATGTCTACTATTTGAGAACCAACTTGATTTAGTTTGGAGAGACCAGTTGCCAGTTTGCCCACAAGGTGATGGGAGGAGAGGGGTTGGCCATAGAAATTCTTGAAGATCATTTAAAATTAAGGGGCTGGCTGACATCTGTATCAGTGGAGTGAGCACCTGTACTGACAGAATTAAAGATATCTGAATTATCAAAGAACCCTGAAGATTATGAGGCTTAGTGACAGATAAATTATTAGTACTGTCATGAGGATACTTTTTCCTCCTTATATTAAAAAGATTAGGTATAATAATATAGTAGTTCAGGGAATGGAAATACATATGGGAAATATACAGGTAAAATTATTTTTAGTCTTCATTGCAAGTATTTTCAGAAACGTACATACAAGTATGCAGATATGCAATTAAAATGCTAAATATCATGGGGGATATTTTTCCCTTAAATTTAAAGTTTAAAATGCAAAATATAAAAGATGAATGTTTCCCTAATTTTTTTTAAATCATGAACATAAGAGACAGGCAGATTCTTGCTTGTTTATATTTGATCTTCCTTTCATGAGATCCTCCTACATAAATCTCTTGGACCAATAAATAAAAATTGAAGCAGGACCAACACTTTCTTTCCTTTCACTTTATTGGCTAACAGATTGTGGATCTTGATCGGGGGCTGGTATTAAATTCAGAAGGAAGGCACCTTCAGGACTCTCATGGAAATCCTCTTCGGGTTAAACTAGGAGGTGATGGTCGGACAATTGTGGGTAAGTGAAACTGGACCCTTTGAAAGACCCATTTTAAAAAATCTCCATTAAGGATATTATTCAGTAAGAGACTATCATGGCTGAGAGCAGAAAGAAGGAGAGCTAAGAAGTTCTCTGTTCTGTCTTCATCTTTTCAAAACTTATTTCTATCAGCCTGTGGTAGTGGATAGAGAGCTTGCTTTGATATCAGGAAGACCTGAGTTCAAGTTCTGATTTTGACACATATTAGCTATTAACCATACTAGCTGTGTGAACCCAGGCAAGCCAATCTCTCAGTGCCTTAGGCAATCTATAGGACTACAAATTGTAGAGTAGGTGCATCCTGGGGATACCTCCACTGATGTCCTTTTCTGATGCCTCAGTATAGACCCTAGGTTCTTAAAGGGTAGGACAGGTTTGATTATGGAATTGGTTGGAGGAATTTTCTCACTGGGACTCCCTCTAGGTGTTTATATTCATAATTGTGTGATAGAAATCAGCTTTAGAATGGTTTTCCTTTAAAAATGGCATAAGGGTGGTATTTCTTACTTCCCCAGTCTCTGTCTGTAGTCTCAATATAGTCCTTGGTAGAACAATATCCAAGGTGGAGAAAAAAGATGATTCATTTCAGGTCATAACATAAAAAAAGCAAAACCCACTGAGCTGATAGATTCTTTCCAACAATAATTCCTTTTACTCTTTTCACCACTTCTAGTCCATCCTTATGAGGCAATACATAGACACTACCCTCCAGCCCATACTATGCCAAACCTCTCATCAGTGCAGATTATAATCATCATCATCTTCATCAGTAAGAATGTATTCATGTGCCAGGTACCGTAATAAGTGCTGGGAATACAAAGAAAGACAAAAACATGGTCCCTGCTCTCAAGTAGCTAACATTCTAAGCAGGAGAGACAACATACAAGTGACTGTAGATATAAGGTATATACAAGATACATAGGAACTAATATAAGAGGGAAGATTATCAGTAGGGTAGGGGATGAGACAGGGAAATGGATGGAACTGGAAAGGCTTCCTGCAGAATGTGGGATCTGAGCTGACTCTTAAAGGGAGCCAAGAGGCCAAAGTGAATAGAGTATTCCAGGCATGATGGATAGCCAGTGGAAAGGCATGGAGTTAGGTATGGAGTGTCATGGGTAGGGGGAATGTATTTTCCAGAATCATGCCAGCATAATGATGTTAGTGTTTTGTTAACATCAGTGTCAAGAGATTGTTTGTGCCTGTGATATTTACATACTGATTCACGGGCCAGACTGTAGAACTGATGCCTCACCAGGGAGTAGATTTTGTTCTGTTGGAAAATTCAGCCTCTTAGGCAATGCCAACTCAAGGGACACTGGTCACTTGCTGACCTTTTACTTATTTTTATTCTAAATCCCTCAGTCAGAACCTTCACAGTTACCCATTTCCCCTTAGTCCCCTTGAACTTCCCAGTTCCGCTATGTGCTCATAAATTATTGCCACTACCTTTCATTACCATGCAGTCATGAAAGTTACCCCCTCCACCATAGAACCATAGTATGAGAAAGGTCAATGATTTTCATGAGGCTATTTGTTAAATCAGTGAAACCTGGAAAAAGAATAGTCACTAGTATTTAACTAACATCTGGTTTGTTAAGGTGAAAAGAATGTAAGTATGTCCTTGAGAAGTATGTTCTTTCCAAAATATGATGTATGCTGAAACCCCCCTTTTGAAGGGATATATATATATATCCCTCAATTTATGACAATGAAAGGCAAATGAACAATCGGAAGAATTTCAACTGAGAAAAAAATCTAAAAAATATTGAAAGCTCATGATATGATTATCATGTAATTATCATTGTCCTGTAATTACCTAATCTACCCCCACACATACCTCCCCCTATTTGGACCTTACTTCCAGTTAGTAAACCTCCTCTACTAATTCCGATTAGTAGCTGTTCTACAACTGCTAGTCCTGGAAAGTTGCCAGGGGCAGTGAGAAGTCAAGTAATGAACTCAGGGTCACATAGTCAATACTGTATGTGTCAAAATGAGACTTGAACCAAGTCTTGCAGAATCCAAGACCAGCCATGTTGCCCCTTTTAATTAAATATTGTAACTCATGATATATCTTTATCAGAAATGGTCTTTCAAGTTTAGATAGACCAGGAGTTCTTAACTTTTTGTGGATGTCATGTACCCCTTTGGCAGGCTGGTGAAGTGTATGGACCCTTTCTCAGAATGTTTTTAAATAATTGAATGAAATGCCCTATTTCAGTTAGAGGCTAGGAAAACTAAAGGCATATGTATGTGTGTGTGTGTGTGTGTGTGTGTGTGTGTATGTATATGTATGTGTGTGTGTATATATATATATATATATATATATATATGTATTGAGAGAGAGAGAGAGAGAGAGAGAGAGAGAGATTAAATCTATCCACAGAACCCTTGGGGTAGATCACTCTCTAATGACAGCTTAAACTCAGAAGCTACCAAAAGTGACTTGTGTTTCTGATAGCCTATAAAATAGTCCTCCTAAATAATTTTGCATTTATGGCTATAGATTTTTTAGGCTCAGCCTAACCTATAAGAGATCATGACTAAATCTGCAATTTATACCTATAACCATAGCATGAAGCCTTTTGTCGTTGTTTCTAGATATGGGAGGAACTCCAGTGGTGAGCCCTGATGGACTCCCCTTATTTGGTCAGGGACGACACGGCAAGCCTTTGGCTAGTGCCCAGGATAAGCCTGTGTTAAGCCTTGGAGGGAAGCCATTGATGGGTTTGGAGGTTATCAAAACAACCAAAACACCCACAACTACAACAACTCATCCCACTACAACTAAGGCAACTACAACTACCACCACCACCACCACCACCACCACCACAACCACTACCACCACCACTCCTGCCACCACCCCTGAGCCAACCACTCCTGAGCCAACCATTCCAGTCCCAACCTGTCCCCCAGGCACCCTTGAACAGCGCGATGATTATGGTAACTTACTAATGGGAGCAGATGGCATGCCTGAATGCTCCCCCGAGGAAGGTGAGCCTCTTTTATATTACTCTGATTCTCTATATTTGGAAGGTGGCATTTCAGATGAAACCTGTCATATAGAAAGTACTGTATATTTATTTCTCTTTGTACTTATCAAAAGAGAATCAGAACAGATTACAAACTCTAGAGAGTACAGGGAATGGTTTAGCGCTAGGCTGTTGTTTGTATTAAGTCATGTGAACTAAAAAATGAACCTGAAATGTGGAGAGATATTCTGTTAAATCAGGGGTTCTTAACCTTTTGTGTGTCATGGACCCCCCTGGCAGTCTGGCGAAACCTATGGACCCCTTCTTAGAATGTTTTTAAATGTATAAAATAAAATACATAGGATTATAATGGCAAACAATCATACTGAAATAAAATTATCAAAATATTTGTTAAACAAGTTCACAGACCACAGGTTAAGAACTCCTGACTAGATATTGCCAGATTTCTCATGGGTATGAGAACTACAAGGATTGAGACATTCTTGTATTCATGTGCCACCTGTTATACCCGTGGTTCTGCTGCTCCTTTGCCTATTCTACTAGGAGAATGAAGGTCAAACATTTTCCGTCACAGAGGAGCTGGGATGCTACACCATATCCTTTGATATTTTATTCTCTTGGGTAGATTACACTGCCCAAAGAAGAGGCTATCTTGGCTTTGAAAATAACATGCTCAGTTTTCCAGCTTCCTGTTAAAATGAAACATGGTACCTTTGGTATACATCCGCATTTAACAAGTGCAGCTCGAAAATTTTTAATCATCAGTCTGTCAAAGTGTTTGCCCAGCAGCCGTGATCAGTGATAGGCACCAAAAAAAACCCCATCAATAACCAACACGAGAGCCATGGAACTCAGATCTGCCTATGGAGAAGCTCCAAATCAAAGGGAGACATCTGAGAACTTCTTCTAAAGAGCCATGAGAAAACAAAACAAAATAAAATTGTAGATGTCATCTGGGAAAAGAGGATCGTCCCAAAGAAAATGTGCCTTTCATATGGATGGTGAGTATAAAGCAAAGTTTACTTTTGAATTCTTAAACAAAATCTTGTGTTCAGTCACTCATATTCATGCCCACATTCTGTATGCTCACATTTAGTGCTATGATTTAAAAGGCAAAGTTTCCTCATCTGTAAAATGAGCTGAAGAAAGAAATGGCAAACCACTACAGTACCTTTGGCAAGAAAACCCTACATGGGTTCATGAAGGGTTGGGCACAACTGAAAAATGAATGAAAAACAAATGCTGTACTAGGGAGGTTTTGACTTTTGCTTGACTTTTGCAGGTGAAAGAGAGTTGGATTTGGAATTGGAGGACCTGGGTTCAAATTCCAACTCTGCTGCTTACTCTCTGTGTGACCTTGGGCATGGGTATTAAGCTCTCCAGTCCTCATTCACCTCATCTATAAAATCAGAGGGTTGGATTAGATGAGCTTTGAGGTCCCTCCCAGCTCTAAGTCTTTGATCCTATCCATGAAGGGCATTTTAGTGGGATCTCACACATAGGTAGTGGTAGAGTAGAGAGAGAGTTGGCCTTAAGGCCCTGACATACAGTGGAAGTGTGACTTTGGGCAAATCACTCAACGCTTTCAGTACTACTGCTATACTTTGGTAGAAGAAGTTACTCATGGGGCTCCCAACATGTCAGTGAGATCACAGGACCAGTTGCTGTCCTTATCCCTCTTTACTTAGTGGTTTTCTGAGTAATTAACTTTAAGTGGAATGCTTATAATGAAAGTGGATACCATGAATCAAAGTCACAGAATCAAAGAAACCAAATGAAAAGGGATCTCAAAGGCTAATTGCTACATCCCTATGTGAATGAATAGTAATCCATGGTTTTATACTAGATAGGAGGCTATTGAGTTTCCACTTGAAATTCTCTGGGGAGGTAGAACCCTTCTAGGAAGCACTCTAATTATGGGGAAGCTTTTTTTTCTTATACTGAACCAAAATCTTCCTTTAATTTCTTTTTTTAAATTAAAAAATTATTTAGCATTTTCCCCAAATTACATGTAAAAACAACTTTTAACATTCATTTTTAAAACTTTGAGTTCCAAATTCTCTCTCTTCCTCCCTCTTCATCTCCTTCATTGAGAAGGCAAGCAATTCGATATAGGTAATACAAGTGTAGTAGTCATACAAAACATATTTCCATGTTAATCGTGTTGTGAAAGAAAACAGACCAAAAAAAAAAACCCAACTCAAGAGAAATAAAGAAAGTTAAAAAAGTATGTTTCAATCTGCATTCAAACAACATCAGTTCTTTCTCTGGGGATGGATAGCATTTTTTATCCTAAGTCCTTAAGAGTTGTCTTGGATCATTGTATTGCTGAGAATAGCTAAGTCATTCACAGCTAATCATCTTACAATCTTGCTCTTACTTTGTACATAGTACGTTTCACTTTGTATCAGCCCATGTAAGTCTTTCCAAGTTTTTGAGAGCATCCTGCTCATCACTTCTTATAGCACAATAGTATTCCATCGTAGTCACATACCACAGTTTATTCAGCCATTCTCCAATTGATGAGCATCCCCTCAATTTTCCAATTCTTTGCCACCAGAAAAGAGTTGCTATAAATATTTTTGTATATATAGGTTCTTTTCTTTTTTGTTTTTTATCTCTTTTTGGATACAGACCTAGTAGTGGTATTGCTAAGTCAAAGGGTATCATGGTTTTATAGCCTTTTAGTCATAGTTCCAAATTGATCTAGAGAATGGTTGAATCAGTTTACAACTCCACCAACAATGCTAATGCATAATGTCTCATTTTCTTTCAGTTTCTATTTTGCCCTCTGGTTCTAAAATATTGAGGCAGGTTTCCTTGATAATTTCTTGAAAGATGATGTCTAGGCTCTTGTTTTGATCATGGCTTTCAGATAGTCCAATAATTTTTAAGTTATCTCTCCTGGATCTGTTTTCCAGGTCAGTTGTTTTTCCAATGAGATATTTCACATTGTTTTCTATTTTTTTCATTCTTTTGAATTTGTTTTACAGTGTCTTGATTTCTCATAAAGTCACTAGCTTCCAATTGCTCCATTCTAATTTTTAAGGAAGTATTTTGTTCAGTAAGCTTTTGGACTTCTTTTTCCATTTGGCCAATTTTGCTTTTTAAGGCATTCTTCTCATTGACTTTTTGGACCTCTTTTGCCATTTGGGTTAGGTTATTTTTTAAGGTGTTATTTTCTTCAGTATTTTTTTTTTTGGTCTCCTTTAGCAAGCTGTTGACTAGCTTTTCATGATTTTCTTGCGTCATTCTCATTTCTCTTCCCAGCTTTTCCTCTACTTCTGTTACTTGCTTCTCAAAATCTTTTGAGCTCTTCCATGGCCTGGGACCAATTTATATTTTTCTTGGAGGCTTTGGATGTAGGAGCTTTGACTTTGTTGTCTTCTTCTGGTTGTATGTTTTGATCTTCTTTGTCACCAAAGAAGATTTTATGGTCTGACTTTTTTTGCACTGCTTGCTCATGATCCCAGTCAATTACTTGAGTTATAAACTCTTTGTTAAGGTAGGAGTCTATTTCCAGTGTGGAGAATGAACTGTCCCAAGCTTCAGGGGTTTTGTGCAGCAGTTTTCAGAGATACTTCTAAGGACCTGTAAATTTTCGGTTCTTCCAAGGTGCTATGATTAAGGGCGAGGTGTTTACTCCTTTCCTGGCCTGTGCTCTGATCTATGAGTGACCACAAGCTCTCTTTTCTGTCTTGGAACTGTGAGGATGATTTTCTCTGCACCGCCACTACAAGCTCCACTATGCCAGTGCTCCTCCTCACCCCAGGACCGCCACCCAGAACTGTGACCCAGATCCAAGCACGGGCAAAGCAAGAGAATTCTGCACCAGCAGAGAGATTCCTGCAATCCCCCTCTGATCAGCCACCTGATTCCTCCTTAGTCTGTGGGCCAGAAGCTCTGGAGGCAGCCACCGCCCCGGGCCTGTGCTTGGGTACTGGGGCTTGGACCTAGCTTCTCTCTCAAAGTGGTCACAGACTTTTCCTACTGACTTTCTAAGTTATCTTTGACATTCATGGGTTGAGAAATCTGGAAACTGCCACAGCTTCCAGTGATTCAGTCCTCTGAGGCCTACTCCAGGTTCGCTGCGGCCTGCCCACCATGCTGAACTGCGTTCCTCTCCCAGCTCGGCTTGATATACCTTTCCAATCAACCATCCAGGTTATCTTGGGCTGGAAATTTGTTTCACTGTGTCTTTTTGTGGGTTCTGCTGCTTTAGAATATGTTTAGAGTCATTTTTTACAGGTATTTGGAGGGGTTTGGGGGAGAGCTCAAGCAAGTCACTGCTTTTACTCCGCCATCTTGGCTCCGCCCCCCCATAATGTCTCATTTTCCCCACATCTCCTCCATTTGTCATTTTCCTTTTCTGTCCTAACAGTCAATCTAATAAGTGTGAGGTAGTACCTCAGAATTATTTTAATTTGTATTTCTCCAATCAATAATGACTTAGAGCATTTTTTTCATATGGCTGTAGATAGCTTTGATTACTTCATCTGAAAACTGTTCATATCTCTTGATCATTTAGCAATTGGAGAATGACTTTTATTTTTATAAAGTTGACTCAGAGCTCTAGATATTTGAGAAATGAAGTCTTTATCAGAGCAATTTTCTTCAAATTTTTTTTCACAGTTACAGTTGCTAAATGTAATTCCCTCTATCCTATTCCCATTTTTCTACTTTCTCCTTTCACCCTGTCCATCCTCAAAAGTGTTTCCTTTCTACCACCTCCCCCAATATACCTATGCCCAATTGAGTGTGATTGTTACTCTTTCTTTGAGCCAATTCTGATGAAAGTAAAGTTCCCTCACTCCCCACCCCTTACCTCCTTCATCTTCCCTTCCACCATAAAAGCTTTTTCTTGTCTCTTTTATATGACATAATTTACCCCATCTTATCTCTCCCTTTCCCTCTCTCCCAGTGCATTCTTCTTTCTCACCCCCTAATTTTATTTTTTTAAGTATCATCCCTTCATATGCAACTCACACCTGTGCCTTCTGT